GACGTTGGGAGGACATCTGGTAAAGCCTGTGAGAACGATGGGGTCAGTTTGGCCCTCGGCCGGGAGTGCAAGTCCCTACTGGGAGAACTAACCTTCGTGGCTATAAAGACATATTTGTACGCGCGATCCGCAGCTTCTCCTACTGACGAGAGGACTGAGAGGCGCCATGCATCAGTGATTATGGTTTACGGTGATCGTAAGATGATGCGCACCTCTATGCGGTCTGAAATCGGTGATTTTGCCGAACTGACCGCTGTTCAGAACAATCCCTCCCTGCTCTGGGAGAGATCGATGAGGCTCCTCTCACATTGAAGCTCCACCTTAGACGTACTTGCAGCATCAAAGTTACTTCGTGCGACTACAGTCAGCCGTGCTCGGCCTGATTGCTGTATGATATAGCTGTCTGCAATTACCCTAGCCTCAGATTTCAAGACCAGTCCAGATCTTTGAGCACTCACAGACAACTCCGATTGCTCCGTAGCCAATAAGAAGGGCGTCTTCCATACTGTAGAGGGGTAAATGAGACCTGACAAGAGGAATTGGAGATGTATGGTTTCGCAGTTTGTGAATTCAGCAAGTGGTCATCTGGAATTATAAGGACGGCTTTCTAAGGCGGTGCCCGTGCCCGGGATCGGAGATCCAGCATTTACACCGCTTTCAAGTTGAGCAGTTTGTTCGCTGTCAAAGTTGATTTGCCTTCATTTTTGGGTAAGCGGCTGGAGAACCTTCGCTCAGGGTCCGCGGGTGGACATGCATGACCGAGTCCGACCTCGGCCAGGGGCTGCAACGCGCGCTTATGTCGCCAAGATTACGACCCGTATGCTCTATTTGACTACAACTATGGTGCTATTTAATCAATCCAAGGTTTTGAGGTTGTGAGCCTGCATGACGGACAGCATAATGTAAATGGCTTCCGTCCTGACACAATGAAAAATAGGTTCAGTCCAAGGTCAGCATATAAAACGGATGAGTGATGCGGCTCACTTTGGTATGGGCACACCAAGCCTCTTCCCGGCTCGGACGACCTCACCAACGATTGCTTCGACCTCGAATGGTTTATTCACCTCGATATCGAGTAATGTGCTGGGCTTATGCTGGCTCTTAACATCCTTGAAGGTGGCGATGTTCCAGTCTAGGAAGCCTTCGACGACGTCGGCTGGTAGATATATCTCCGAGTAGCCCAGCGCTCGGCCGACTGCGACAATTTCCTCACCAGTCTCTCGGAGCAGAGGTACGACTTTCTCCCACAGAGCAGGTGTCGCAGTATAGAACGCCGGTGGGACTCGCGTAAAGCAGCTCATGGGAGCAAAGGCTGCATTCCTGTGCCAAGGCGTGCGAGATGTACCATGTGAGCACACTTAACGTTGCTTCAGGTAACTATTCCGGGCAGGCCTACCAGATATTTTTGCGGAATTTGACTGCTTGTATATTGTCTTCAATAGTGGCGACCCCGCCGCCCGCTTCGATCAAACTTTGGAAAACGACTAGGTTCGGCTCTACCTCTGTGGTTTTAGCTCCTTCCATTTTAGGTGGAAAGAAACCCAACTCTAATTTTGGCTTCATGAGAATTATAATTTAGCCAAGTTCGCGACCCAAATATCGCCCGTTGGAAAACTTACTATATTGGCTGGATGTTGCATGGCATTTCCTATCAAGTTCGCTGCACAGTAGACAGCCGTGGTGATGATATGTGGTGAGGGAGATGATTTCCTTTGCTCTAAACTCTGGTACAAATCCGTTTCTACCCCCAGGCCATTTTGTAGTAGAACATAAGTAGGTTGGAGGAATGTATACGACAGAGAAAGGAACGGTTCGAGTAGTTTTGATGTAGGTAGGACGTCCGGCAAAGCTTTTGCCGCAACGACTACGAATGCATACTGTCGATCCGCAGCTTCGGCTACAGATGCAACAACTTTTGGTGCCAGGTCAGTTCTAAGGGCCCTAGGCGAGCCAAACTCAGCAGGCACGTACCTCGCTCGGGCTTGAAATCCGTAACTGTGCCAAACTGGTGGCTATTGATATGTATCTGGCCGTTCTCTAACGGGGTAGTAGTGCACAGTTAGGGGCTATCAGCTATCAAGATCGAACTTCTCTCGCAAGCCATGCGACTCACTGGCTGCTTGGTAGTTGCTCCTGAGAGTGGACCGCTTCACCCTTCACAAAATCGGGGAGATACTCTAGAGATCTTACTCACCTAGCAACCACAGTTAGCCGCACTTTCCCTGAGTGGTGTAAGATATAGCCAACTTTCGAGGTCCAAACACGTCAGCCCGAGAATGGTCTGGTGCATCAGCAACCATCAAAGTAGAGCTTACAAAGTATGCCGACTGCACCCCAGCCAACGACTAGAACTTCTTCCATAGAGATGGTAGATCGATCTGCAAGTGAGGGCGGAGCGATGGACGGTGTCATGGCCGGAGCCGCCTTTGCCGATAGCCGGTGCTGCATGTAGAGAGCTGAAATCATAATTGAGCCATTAAGACCCACGCATGCAAAAGAAGAGCCAGCTTCTATTGCCCCACCCGTTTGCCCCTCTCCCAATGTGACCATGCCCACGCATGATTATTTGACATCCACCTAGGTTTTCACTGCTATGAAAAGCATGGCCTGTACCGATTCACATTTGTATAAGTTCTGGGCATCCCTGATGTGCAATAGGGTAAGACCTGCTACCAGGGTTTCAAATTATGGGCTTGTATCACAGATAGCATGAGATAGATCGCCTCCATCCTGTTGCGCAACGTGATTCAGCTTTCGGGTAAGAATAAGGTTCAAGATATTCATCACTAACCTCGGAATGGATATACCGAGCTGCCGCCCAGCGCGGACTACCTCACCCACGATCACTTCCACCTCAAACGGTTTGTTTGCCTTGATATCGAGCACGGTAGAGGGCATAAGTTGGCTTTCGACCTCGTTGTATGTGGCGACGTCCCCGTTGATGAAGCTCTGGATGACGTCTGAAGGCAGGTACTTCTCCGAGTAGCCTAACGCACGTCCTACTGCTACTACTTCCTCACCGGTTTCCCGCAAGAGAGGTACAACTTTTTCCCATAGCGCAGGCGTCGCCACATAAAATGATGGGGGTACTCGTGTGAGGCAGCTGAAAGTAGCGAAGACCGCATTCCTGAAACAGTCGAGACCCTTGTGAACCCTTTGCCTCAGTCTCGTGCACACAACGAGCGCTTGGTCCCGAACTGCTTACCAAATGTTTTTACGAAACTTGGCGGCCTGAATATCTTCAGAGATTGTGGCGCAACCTCCGCCTGCGTCAACCATGCTCCTGAAAATAGCGAGGTTCGGCTCCGAGAGTTCGACCTGTGCTGGAGCGGCGTGCGCGGGGGTAAACAGGCCCAATTCCAATCTCGGCTTCCGGAAGCCCTTATTCAGACGCATCAGCCGTCTAAAAAAGGCACGCTGCACTTACTTTACCAGAAGGATGCTTCATGATACGCCCCACCAAGTTGGCGTCGCAGTAAACAGCAGCGGTGATGATCCGTGGAGAAGGAGATATTATCCTGTCCACAAGTTTTGCGTGTAGGTCGGTTTCCACCCCGAGTCCATTCTGCAGCAGAACGTAGGTCGGCTGAGGATACCTGTATGACGGTAACAGGAATGGTTCCAGCAGCTTTGGCGTGGATAAGACGTCGGGAAGAGCCTTTGTTGTGACCATCACATATGAATACTGACGATCTGCTGCTTCTGCAACAGAGGCCATCACTTTGTATAACAGAATCGGTCAGGTCCTCTTGGTTCCAAAAAGAACAGGAGTGGCATCAGTGCGCGTACCTCGCTCAGGTTGAAAATCGGTGACAGTGCCAAACTGATGGCTCTCGATGACTATTTGACCGTTCTCTAGCAGAGCAGTTTCTTCTAGCTACCCAATTCCTGAAAACGTGGGTGGTCGATGACTCACTTGTAGCGTCGTAGTTACTTCTGGTATATAGGTTCGCCATCACTTTTATGACCACTAACCATTCTATAAAGTTTTGACTCGCCTAGCAACGACCGTAAGCCTTACTTTCTCGGATCGCCGTAAGATGTATCCATCTTGACGCGCCAAATACTTTCGTCAATGTGGCTATCGGCCACCTGTTGTCCATAAGTTTTACAAACTCACAAAGAATCCCTACAGCCCCCCATCCGACGACCAGGATCTCTTCCATGATGTTCCTCTACTTTCGCAGTCTGGTTCGCGAAGCAAAATTCAGATGGTTTGTCTAAACTCGAGTGCGCGATGTGAGGAAGAGGCTGGGTACACTTTGGGCTAATAGTACAGTCCAAAAGTTTGAGCACGGGCCCCGTCCGATATCGGAACTAATCAGGAGTGTGCTGGAGGAGAAAAAAAAGAGACAGACAGATGCCAACGACGCCAGATCAAGAAGCCAACAGCCAACTTTGTTTGTCCATCAGCAAGGATCTACCATATTGCTCACCAAGGCCACACTTCCAGCTATGGAATGCAAGCTCCGGATCACTGCTTAGCCCCCTGGGCCATCATCCCCGAGCTCTGAGGCTATTAAAAGGTGCATCAAGCTGCTGGCCTATATGGCCCCAAGACGAGCATGCATCCGTGGTCTATCCCAGCAGGCCAAACGGAGGGTTTAGCGGGTCCACAAGAACCCCCCATTGTTCTGAAGGTTTGCGCGCAGAAATGCGTGCCGCCTTTGGTTGGCTAGGCTGGCGAGTTCCCCCCCCCCCGTCCACACACACAAAAATGGAATGCATACTTATTGTAACTGCTAGAAGTAGCCTAAGTGCGAAGACCTCGATGGCGGTCATGGTCCTGTGAAAAAGGAAACTGGTCGACGTCCATCTTAGCCTCAGTAGACTTGATTCTAGCCAGCGAGCAAATTGTCAACGAGCTACCTTGGAGCTTCTGGTTTGATGCTCTATCAAAAAACCTATTGCTTCAGCTGCAAAGCGGGCACCGAATCCATATTTTTCTAGGGGATTTTACTTCCCGGTCGAGAAGCATTGTCCATTGCTTCCGCGCAGCTGGCTACCTGGCGCAATGGTAGCGTGTCCGCCTACGATCTTGTCGATAGCGGGAGGTTGCAGGTTCGACCCCTGCGGTGGTCATCTGGATGGCCTCATAGGATGCGGTTCACAGGAGTGAGAGTTGAGAACCGCACCCTCCAGAGTCAGCACAGACGATTTTTTCTCGAATATTTTCTCTCTAAGTCAACCGCCTCACAATATTGACTCAAGCTCCCGCCCGTCTCATCGCATTGTTTGTGTCTACATTAACCCATGAGGTGGTCATGATGATTTCGGGCTCGACGTTTAGGGCAAAATACCGGCGATCATTTCAACGAGTTGCCACAGACCCACGATGCACTTCTCGCGACGCGTTACATATTACTTGACCTTTGGTCCGCTCCAAGAATATGAGATCCTTGTGTTGCTCCAATGAAACGTCCCTAAGATTATCTCAACCCTATACCATCATATCCACGTCGGCCACATCCACTCAATTTGTCTAACTAACGCCCGATTCGCACTTCGTGTTATGGTCGCAATGCCTAGACCTCGGACTGGCTAGCGTCCTCCATGAGATGATTCAAACTTCGAAGCCGAATTGGAAGCCCAGTCGGCTCCTTGCCGCCTTTTCTCTATTCTGGGGGTTGCTGATACTTCCATTTCCCCACGTTTGGATACGTCTCCCTTTCAAGAGCAGGCCAAAATCAGTGGACACAACCGGCGACCGCTTTGCAAAGGGATAACCCTGCTCGAAGATCTCGAACGTGTCTAATCGGGCGCCCGAGGCGGCCCATCGACAGCCACATCTGTTTATCCCCAGGCCGAATCTCCCAAGCGCTCAAATCTACCCCAAAGCCATGGGTAATGAGTAATTCACTTGAGCTTGTGGGCGGATTCGGGTAATAGTTTTCCCGTGCATCGTTATTAAAAGGCTCACACCGGCCTTGACTCCATCTACTGCTTGCTACCCATGTCTGAAACCAAATTCATGATAGATGCGATCCTGTTAGTCGGATAGACAAGATTTTCTTTCACATCGCGCTAACACTCGACTTTCAGCTTTGATATGGATGGGGCGAGTCAATACTTGATTGTGCTCGGGCATCGTTGACTAACTTGGATAGCCGGTAGACTCTTCTCGACTCGACAGCAGCCGTGGAGCGGGCATGGGCGTACTGGGGGGGCATCTATCCACATCTCGACATTGAGCACATTCTTCGAAGTAAGATGTGGCCGAACTTTGAAGTCTAGCCGACTCGCCTATGCTCAACCTACTCATTTGTAGCTAGTCATGGTGTCAGAACGATCGACAACCTTAGGAAGTGGAACCCGGAGATCCCGGAAACTGATTTACCTGTGAGTTCATGATACTTCATGGTTAATCCACACAATGCCCATGCAAAGTGAAACAGGCTCGAGTCCATGACTTTGAGATGGCAATCGTCACCGAGTCTAAGAAAGCCGAAGAACGAGGCGAAACGGGTATAATATTGCTCCCTGGCGTGACGGAACTCTTGAAATCGGTAAGCTCAGCTCAACACGTCACCCAAGAGCAGATCTGACCATCGCCCCAGCTAGGAGACAAGAACTGGGCAATTTGTACCAGCGCCACTCACGCCTATGCTGATGGCGCTTTAGGTGCGTGCTTATGCCCCACAACGTGCATTAGCACCCACTCACGATCCGCTGTTTCCAGAGGCGGTGCACATTCGTCAGCCACCAGTGTTTGTAAGTGCAAGGTCCTTGCGCGTTACATTCACCTATCTCAGCTGCATTCTCTTCTTAGGTCACGGCGGATGACGTGGCCAGAGGCAAACCGTTCCCTGACCCATACCTATTGGGAGCAGAGAAGTGTGGGGTTGATCCGACCAAGTGTAAGTGTCCTTTAATCTTCAAGAGTGAGCGCCTCATCTAATGAAGCTCTATGCCAGGCCTCGTGGTAGAAGACGCGCCTTCAGGTGTTGCCAGCGGAAAGGCAGCGCGCTGCCATGTGGTCGCGGTCTGCACATCACATACGGAAGAACGAATGCTTCAAACGGAACCCGACATATTGATAAAGGACCTCGCATGGTAAGCTCCAGGGTCAAACGTTCAGAACTATATACTTATAATAGGTCATGTAGCATGTCAGTAGAACGTGTCGAAGGGCGTTTAGAAGTGACAATCACCAAGCCGTCGTGAGCGATATCAAATAGAAAATGCAGTACATTAGAGATCGGTACGCGCCAAATACATAGAGAAACATTGTCAATCTCTATGTTATGTTCTGTGACCATTACGGCCGAAGCGGCCTGTTTCTCATCTACAGTCCATCTGAGCGATAGGCATCCTTACTGGCATGGACATACGTCTCGCTGATCTCTCCTCACTTGAGAATAAACATAAAACCACTCTGCAAAAAGGTTCATTATAGTGGCATTTTATTCGCTATTGGCGACTAACTCAGTGATTATATCGTCAGCCAATTTTGAATACGCTGCCGACATCCTGCTCCACTCGCAAGACGAAATTTTTAAGAAGACGAAGCTTCCACTCCCCGAAATCGAGGCCATCGTTCAACTCATATCACACGAGATCCTTGACCCACCCAGGCGGATTACTCGTACCGAATCACTCGGCTTTGAGTGTTTTACGAGTGGTGACCAAAGGCTAGATGGTTTACTAGGTGGTGGGATACGCACCGGTGCTGTTTGGGAGATTGCTGGAGAGGGGTGAGCACCTTCGAGGTGTCTTACGAACGCGTTCTGATCATAGTTTTTCAGTGCTGCTGGCAAAACCCAACTAGCTTTTCAGCTGGCCTTAACTGTTCAAACTCCTATGCACTCTGGAGGTCTCTCTGGATCTGTGTGTTTCATCAGCGCTGGGTCAACGCTTGCCACTCAACGCCTTGAGCAACTCATCGTGGAGCATCCTGCTCTTTCTCCGAATAACTGCAGCCTAGCTGATATCCACACATGTTCCGTCGATATACCCAAGGCACTAACCTATTACCTTCGGGAAGCCCTACCGGAGCTCATTGGCTTGCTTGCCATAACCCCGGGTGCAAAACCTATCAAACTCATTGTCATCGACTCCATTGCGAGCCTCTTTCGATCGGCGGAGAAGACAAGCATAATGAATCTAGTCGAGAGGTCCAAAGCTCTCGCGGAGATCTCACGTCTTCTCCATGGGCTGGTGGTGAATTACGGACTGGCTGCTGTTGTGGTTAACGACGTTACTGCAGTCTTTGAGAAGGAGGTACCGATCGTGGACCAGAGCTCAAACGCTGCCCATGAAGAGCTTTTCTACACGGAGCAGTCTCGGTGGTTTAATCGCCCCGACGATACCTTTCGGGATGATAAAAGGGACGCAGCATTAGGGCTAGTGTGGGCAAATCAAGTCAATGTCCGTTTGTTCATGAGTAGAACAGGGAGGGCGGCCACAATACGCACCCAGTCCTCCACCCTTAGCGTCGGCGACAACAGCGAAAGAAGTAGAAAACGGCGGCGGATTGACCTGGGCTCGAATGCCGTCGACACTACACCACCAGGTACTTCAACAGTGCTTCGTCGACTGGACGTCATATTCTCTTCATTCTCCCCGGCCCAAAGCATCGACTTCATTCTCACTCCATCAGGTCTGAGGACTATTCCAGCAACACTCACGACCAGCAAGCCTGCTAGCCTCTTCGGATATGAAATGGGGTTGGACGGTGGCATACAACTGGACCCTCCATCCTCAGGCTCACTGAATACGCTGGCGCAGCATAGTGTCGAGGCAGATCTTCTGGCGGACTTGGAGTATGATGCTCTTGAATACTCGGATGAGGATATCATGAGTGGCGGACTAGAAGGCGCTGTAGAACAGCAAACAGAGGGTTGAAGACAAACCTTCTTTATCCTGGCTGTACGAAATTAATGTATCGATCATCTCGGACTGTTCCTCTCAGGTTTGGTCTATGATGGAGACCTGAGCTTCCTATTCGAGCTACTCGTAGACATAACTGTGTGAATGACCCTACTTCAGTCTACAACGCGACATCTCATCTTGCATAACTTGGCATTACAATGCCTCCAGTCGCCACCACCGACATACCTGTTGGAGCTATAGTGGAGGTGCAGGCTGGAAAGGGAGTTGTGCGGTTTCACGGGACGACCTCTTTTGCTCCTGGCCGATGGATCGGCGTTGAGCTACCAGAACCGAATGGGAAGAATGATGGCTCTGTCGATGGCGTTGCTTACTTCTCGTGTAAAATGAAGTATGGAGTGTTCGTTAGGGCGACTCAGATCAAGTCTGTCGAGCTGCAGTCAAACGTCATGGTGAGCATCGCGTCCAGAAGCAACCCCGTAATACACAAGCATTGACTTGAATAGTAGTCCCCTCCACCCCAATCAGTGTCCAGACCCACTCACAAATCTAATGGTAGCGTATCCGGGTCATTTGCTCCCCCAACACCCGGGCGAATCCCACCCGCTAGATCGATGACTTCGTCTCGTGCGGCAAGCCCACAGAAGATCAGTCCAGCCCCTCCCGTTACCCGCCCGCGTCTCCCGCCACCGACCCCCTTGAGGCGCCCAACCTATTTGCAATCCTCGACCTCGATCAGTCAGCCCTCACCATCACGCGTCCCTCCGACCCCCGGCTTGCCGCGGCAGCTATCAACTGTCCAGCAGCAGGTATTGTCCCAGTTACCATCACGACGGCCGTCCCTCCTCCAACCGCCTGCCAAAGTCTCTTCCCTCGAGCTGAACTCTCCTGTGTCTGACGACTCACCATCTTTATCTCCATCTCCTATTTCTAACGCCCTGCATGTCGAACCTACACCTTTACTCAATGATGTACAGCACTCTTCCCCGCGCTCAACTGGGACAGGTAGCTTTGGTCCTCCTTCCCCGGCCCCTCAGGCACGTTTGAATTCCCATTTTTATAGCGCTTCACTTGAGCTGAACAGAAGGTTATTCGTGTAGAAACCTCTCCTACCGGTTGATGATTCTCATGAGCTTCGCGTCAAGCTTCGGGTCCTTGAGACCAAGCGTGCTGATGACAGCAGACGTATCAGAGAGCTCGAAGGCCGGCTGGCCGAAGCCGAAGCCTTTGTTTCCATCCGACCCAAGCTACAG